TTTTTTCATTGGTTTATATTATATTGAAGAATTAATTTGCAGAAGCATTATGAGGGGATTCGAGGGAAAAAAAGATGTCGACTGAAAAAGATGTCAAATGTTCATAAAAATACATGAAGAATCATCACTCACCATTATGTCCATCTTTTACAATATTTTCTCACTATTTTATTTATCAATTAAAAATTGTCTTGAATACTTGAAGTTGTATAATATTCTGTTAAATTTATAAATACTATTATAAATTACTATTATAAAATAGTATTATAAATTTTTGGAAAAAATATATTGGCTCTTGTATTTATCTTTTAAACATGGATAAACTGATAAAATTTGTAAATTATCTTGTAACTGAATTGCGAACAAAATATACTAAATAAATAAAACGTGCGTATGAAATCTAAATTTTAATATATTTAATGCTATTTAATAGAAAAAACTAATTAATAGCATTAAAAAATGAAATTTACTTTTTTATTTTTAATATCAACTTGAACAAGAGAAATACTCAAAATCGATTGGAAAGAAATTTATTAGAGAAAATAGATAATAAAAGAGTATGCGCCCTTTATGTTATTATACCTTCAACTTTCTGTTGCGTGTCACGCTGTACATTATCATATAACACTCATATCATTCAAACGTCATACCATAAAGGTATCTAATTGTATTGCTACAGATATAGAAACTTATAGTTTATTTTAAAGATAGACATGCACTATCTATGATGACATGATAGATTGACGTTAGCGATTCCTGACATCGTATAATTTCATATTTTCATATTTTTACAAGAATAATTGTAGAAAGAATCGATAGAGCGTACGATGCATCTTGTTACACAATGTTGTAATTCCTCGATGAAGAATTTGAAGCTGTAATCATGCTAGAAAATTTTCTACGAGAGTACAATACTAACCGGATATTATTGTCGCTCACAGGTCTTTGGCCATTTCAGAATAAGCCTGTTAGAAAATTGTTATGGACATTCTGTCTATTGCTTGAAATAAGTTATTTTCCATTCGAGGTAATGTGCACGATTATTACATTTGAAGAAAGATACTTTCAATCAACATTGATAAATTTTCATAATACTAATTATTATTTTTTATAATTTTTTTATTAACAAATATAAACTAATATTGCATATGTTATACACATATTTTTTTAAGATATAACTAGTATGTACAGTGTATAAATCGTATAATACTTGCTTCAAGAATTAAGAAATAATGACGCCATGTGTAAATGAATCAACATCATAATCGTGTTGCCCTCTCAACACCTTTCAATTTTTGTTTAAAATATTTTTGTCTTAAATTTAAAGATTTTGAAATATTGCAATAGTTTAATTAAAATAGCTTGAATGTTAAATTGCACGATTTATGAATAACAATTTTACATTATATACAGATATTATTATTATATGATCATTCGGATGATGCGCAATTGATTTGCGAAAGTTGCTATCAATTTTTAATCTTGACTGCTTTCCTTGTAAGATATTTAAATGAGCTCTTGAATTATGATAAGGTACGTGAAAATCATGCCATCTTTGATAAATTTCTTCTTGATCATATTTATCCTGCTGAAACATAAAATATATGTTAAATAATTTCTTTATATTTATTGTAATTAGATGCAATGGATATACGAAGCTATTGATGAGCATTGGAATATATTTACCAATGATATGGAAGTTGAAATAATGAAAGAGTACTCTATGCTGTCACGAAAATTTATGAAGTATTATTCAAGTGAGTTGTATTATTATAAAGGTAGTGTATATATAATATATATATATATATATATATATATATATATATATCTAATATAAAACGATGTCAAAATATATAATTACCTTATAATTTAAGAACAAAGCCGAAAGAAATATTCAAATATCTGTTATTAAAAAAATAATAGAAAAATTGATTTAAAAAAATTTTTTTTTCAAATACAGATTTTTATTCAGATTAAACAATAATAGTTTTATATAAATTATTAAATATTGATATTTAATTATTAAATCAAATAATTTTCTTCTTTTATAATATTACAGTACTAATATGTCTGTCGTTAGCAGTGCTTGTAATAATGCCATTAACACCGATATTCTTAGATATCATAATGCCTCTTAATGAATCACGTCCGAAATTCTTCGCGATTGAAGTTGAATTTAGAGTGAATAAAGAAGATTATTTTCTACTAATTTATTGTTACATTACCACTGTAACTGTAGTGGGCGCAAACATTACGATGGGTTTTGATACAATGCACATCGCATGTACCGCTCATGCATGCAGTTTATTTGCGGCAGTCAGGTAAGTAAATATGAAGGTAATATGTATAATGTAATAATTATTATAATTATTT